ATTCCTATGCAATTCGATGAGTTGGGAAGTATAAATAGAAAAAATTCAATCCATCAATGTTTTAGTCCACACCTTTCTACCTCTGATAGGTATTATGCATTGATCAATTAATTAGTTGGCTGTTCGGAGTGAAGTTTGGCTTTGGAGGGGCCACTCAAGATTGCTATGATGTCAGAGTTCGTCACTGTATCATGAGTAAAAATTTAGTAAAGGTGTCACAGCTCAAAAGAGGGATGGATAATGGATGCAATAATACGAAAAAGTCACAGTCAAAGACCCAAAGCAAAGACAAGAAAGTGAGACAGAACCACCACGCAAAGGACATCTAATGGCATCTAATGGCATCTCTTTTCATCCTTCTTCATCAATGTATGTAGCCGCGGGAGAGCGAAGTGTGGATTCACCAGTAAACAAAAACTACTTGGAATTATCCTTGTTTACTTGATGTTTGATTGGGAATCAACATCGGAAGGTGGCCGTTACATCGGTTACATGGCCAAAAAGAGACATGCAGTTAGTTGTAACTTATTGGTCGAATAGTCACTCATGGAATTCAAGTGAAAGATGCATTGTCTTACCGCACAGTTACCGATTTTTGGAACGAAAGATTTCTCATCAGTGGAAGATGCAGTTCTAGACTCGACCAATCTTCTGCGCCGTACTCGACTCCGGGCTGGGTAATGACTCGTACGGTAAGAATGGAAATCATATCACGAGAATGGAGTGGCTGATCTTATTACCTACTTTGTACTTTGCCTTAGCTATCGGACTTTGCTCTGTCAGGTCAGTCGGGGACTGGCTCGAGAGTGGGAATATGATTATGATATACCATGGAACACATGGGATTTTTCATATGCCCTTTGAATATTCCGTTAATTCTGGGTCAAGCTTCTTTCTCCATGGATGATCAATGTCCACGGGTACCAAGGTTTGCATCACTCGAGCTGCCACAGATAGATCAGCCACAAGCCACAACCCCCGTACAAATAACAGCCCTGGAGGTGCGGACAATTATCTCCGGACTCAATAAATCTCATGGAGCCTATCAATACTATCATATCATTACATGACATGACACTTTCATCACTATGGAGATCCGTACCTGTCAAGATTGTGGCTTTATCAAACTCGTTATTGGAACTTGGAAGCTTTCACTTGCTTTACTCTCCGGCTGCCTGAGCAACTCAAGATATTTTAATTGTTCACGTGATCCAACGATACATATAGATGAGTACTGTAACTTATATATAAATTATGTTGATAGTATTTTCCTTTGTCATGTATTCACGAGTCACGTGCACTCCATCTCTATTGTCTTTGTTGCATTCCTCTCTGGCCACGCGTCTCACACGTGAAAATATCGAAAGCATTCAACATCTTTGCATTGATGACTACAACCTCCCACCTGGCACAGCCCTCTTACCTCGAACCTGGGCCATTTGACAACAATGACGTCTTTCACTCCAATCCAGAACTCACGGCTCACTTCTTTCCCCTCCAAGAATTAATTTCTTACCTCTCTCTGGATTTCCCACGAATTAGACTCCAGGATCCCTCCCTGGCATGTCTCTGGGTGCATGTATGCGTCCGACGGGCAAAGGGTAGAAACACAAGAGAAGTATTGAAATAGAAAAGAAGAGAAAAGAATCCATTTCAATCAATTCACATCATTTTCTTCGATGCGTGTATGCGTGTATGCGTGTATGCAGATGAGAGAATGATCATGTAGAAAGTGCAGACAGTATAGACAGTACAGACAGGTACAGGTATCCAAGTGACATACCCCAGTGACATATACCCAACTTGTTACAAATATCACCTCACACCTCACACCTCAAACCTCACTCAGTCTTTACGCCTTCTACCAAAACAGAAGGTTCGGCGCAGTAAAATAGTAATGAGAATAATAAAGCCAGCAACATTTCGATGATTTAACTATTAATGTTATCCTCACTCCTCACTCCTCACTCTTCACTCTTCACTCTTCACTCTTCACTCTTCACTCTTCACTCTTCACTCTTCACTCTTCACTCTTCACTCTTCACTCTTCACTCCTCATCTCATCTCATCAGTGCCCAGTGCTCACTGTCAGTAACCTTACTCACCCATCTACTCGTATATGAACATCAAAAATCCTTGAACCCTTGATTTTTATCCACAAACATCATCATCCAAGCCTTTCTAACTTCTTATCAACTCTTGTCTTGAACTCCACCGACGTTCTAGTTTTTAGAGATCTACCTGGGTCTCTCTCACAGAGAGTACATATTTACATTGATCTCCCATTCCATCTCGCAACATCAAACACTTCTGTTTCTGTATCCTATCTCTCTCAAATCTTATCACCTCGTCCTTGAAAAGGGACTCTTTAATGTCAAACAAATATTACGACTCAGATTCAGATTCCATTTGACTTTTAAATATGAAAGCCACCATATGGCGAGGCCTTATGGCCATTGGAATGAAATTTCATCATTTCGCAGATCCCAAACCCCCAGCTCCTAATTTCAAAATCCGAATCCCCTCCAGATTGTGTCCGCGCGGGGGATATTTCAACCTCATTTTTTATGTTCCACAATCGTATATTGAAGGGTCAGATGAAGATCAACGTCGATTTCCCGTCGTTGTAAATTACCACGGAGGGGGGTTTACCCTGGGAACAGGAACCGATGATGCGAGATGGGCTTCTGCGGTCATTCACACAGTCGATGCGGTGTTCGTCAGTGTGGAATATCGTCTTGCGCCAGAATATCCATTTAGTGTAGGAGTCGAAGATGGTACCGATGCCGTTATATATCTAGCCGCACACGCAGAAGAATTACGATTAGATCCTCATCGAATGGCACTATCTGGGTTCAGCGCCGGGGGAAACTTTGCATTCACAGTTCCACTAATGCTGCACGATTTAAAACAAGATGCAGGAAAGCGTACGCTCGCAGATTTGACAAGTGCAACTACACATGCAGATGGGACGCCCTCTACAAATGCAAGCCGACAAGATCTCGATAAAGTAAAATACGATTCTTCCGCGGCCGCATCATCAAGTTCACTCACTTCACATCTCCGCCCCAATCCATACCAAGGCGAACCTCAAAGCCGAAACCAATCCACAACATCCATTGCCAAAATCCCCTCCCTCGAACCCACCGCACTAGAAATCGCTCAAGAAATCCCCGACCTCACCATCCGCGCCATAGTCTCCTTCTACCCCCCAACCGATTTCCGTCAAACTCGCGATGAAAAACGTGCTACGAATCCCGCCCCAGAAAAGAACCTCCCTCCAATGCTCACCCGTCTCTTCGACCAATCTTACATGAATCCCATCGAATCCATCGATCTCCGTGATCCCTATCTTTCCCCGGCAGCAGCCACAGATGGATTTCTTCGCGACGCCTATCCCCAAGATATCGTCCTCTATACCTGCGAATACGATATGCTAAACGCAGAAGGAGTCGCCTTTGGCGAACGTCTCTCCTCCACCGCAATCGGCAAATCCGTCAAAGGCGGTCTGATAAACTGCGTCCCCCACGCCTTTGATAAAAAACCCAATCCCCTCAGTTTCCCCGAAGCCGCAGATCGCTGCTACGAAGAAGCATGCGCGGAGCTGGCCCGGGTCTTCGATAGCGGAAAAACAAGCGAGGAAGATCGAAAACAGCTGGGCAAGAGTAAGGTCGTCGATCGATTCGAGGAACAGGATAAAATCGTGGGACTCTCTGATCGCGCGCGGGATCTGATTGATAACACGAGTTTAGCGGAAGGAAGAAGAGATAGCGGTATGGCGGATAATCATAGGGGTGTAGAGGGAGATAGGAGTAGAAGCATGAGTGCGGAAGCGAAAGTGCTAAAGGATTTTGAGAAGGAGGCAGATAAGGTTATTAAAAAGAATGGGGGAATTGATGAAGAAGCTGTGGTTTAGAAGGTGCTTTGACTCGATTACTTTGGCTTGGTCCAGCCTGTTCGGGCGTTTGGGACGATATTCGGGACGACGATGGAGATGAGATGAGAAGACTTCGAACTATTCTCTATCTTCGATTCGGGCACCTTTTTTCCCTTTCACTTTCTCCCCTTTCTGGCCCCGTTCCGTTTTTCTCTTCTCCGTTCTTCATTTTCCTCCTCTTCATCTATCTCCACAGCGGCACAAGTATAATATTTGAATTAAATCATACCACGGTTACGGCGTCGAGCGAGCGGGTCGGATAGACAACGTAGACGCGCTTAAAAACAGGAAGAGAGACGGACAGACAGAGTACTACAGACACAATTGAATACAGAGACACAGACAGAGACACAGACAGAGACACAGACAGAGACACTCAAAGCTAGATTTGACGAAGAACAATACTCTTTTTTTTCTTTTCTCGAGAATTCTTGTATGTGCATACATACATACATACGTTACATACGTCACATAGGTGTAAGGATGTTCGGGTTTAAGTTCAGATTTAAGTTCAGGTTCAGGTTCAGGTTTAGGTTTAGGTATAGAGAACGAAGAGAATGAAATTTTATGATGATGATCATGATGATGCACCCACCTCCTTTACATTTCTAGCGGAGTAAGATGCAAGTTGCGAAGCTCGATGGGAGTGACATACCTATCTAGTCACTATGATACACTACCTACATACCAATCAACATCACAAATATGACTACGATCACAATCACAATCACGTACGAAAATACCACTCAAATATAGTCAATCAACCATTTGTTCATATGATATCTTGTTTGTGGTGTTATGTTATCCACCCCCACCACCTCCATTCTCTCGTCGTTTCCTCCCAGACACGAATCCTATTTACCCCCTACATGGATGGCATCATAATATGCCTATCCACTCAAATGATCCATCAATCATCTCAAACTCCATCACATCATCTCATTCAGAGTAGGAGCTTTCAAGCTACCATTCTCATCACAAATCGTATCATACTAACGTGTCACTTGCATAAAAAATCATTCATCTTAACTCCGGGAGAGAATCATGTCGCTTTCAAGCTACCATGTCTCGATGTCGCAAAAACTTTGAATTTGGGGAAGAGAAGAAACAGACGAGTCAAAAACCTCTCATAAAAAGAGTAAGCAAAAACGCCTTTGATGTGCCGGGATTGTTTGTAAACGGTAAGAAAGGGGAAATACATGATGGTGAATCTTTCGCTGATCGTTGGTCACATCGTGGGGGGAAAAATGTGCTTCAGGGTGGTTAAAAATTTGACGTGTTTTGGATTCGCAGTCGCAGATTGAAAAGTAGTATCGGTGCCAGAACTTTAAGGTCCGATCTGTCGTTCATGACAACAATGTCAATTTGTAATTAGAAGTCGTATTAGAGGATTTTTCTGGATAGAAAGAATAGCTAAAAGCTAGAGGATTTGTTAACTCTTTAAAGAGTTTACATATCCATCGAATCCCCACCATTGGCGAAGTTGAAGTTACCAGATTGTTCTCCATTGGTACCGAAACCAAAGGTATTACCAGCGATTTGTGGTTGACCATCATCAGCACCCTCTTCCTCATCAGAGAAGTACTTCTCAATCATGTTGTATGCCTTCATATATATCTCTTCGTTTGCGTTGGTTTGGCAGTCGTGAATTTTCTCCATACCATGGCATTCCTCGATGAACAAAGCGTATCGGTTAATGCTCTCAGTTCCTTCTCCGGCAGCATCCTTATCCATCTCACCAACCTTCAAGATATTCTCAAGACCATCAAGAGCGACTTGAATAATCTTGTTATCCGGGCAGGCCAAGAGATCGCAAAGTGGTTTGATACAACCTTGGTTAACCAGGTAACGAATTTGCTCTGGCTTTTGGAGACCACCGGAGGTAGCATTAGAGATTGCCCAACAAGCTTCCTTGCGAGTCTTGAGGTCACCGTTGGACAAGAGGTGGATGAGAGGTGGGATAATGTTGGCATCGATAACTGCTTGAATCTGGGTGGAGTTACCAGCAGTGACGTTGGAGATGGTCCAGCACGCTTCCTTTCTGATACCGTCCTTTCCTGAGCTCAAGAGGGACAACAAGGCTGGGAGAGCACCACAGTTGATGATGACTTGGGTTTGAACATCATCACCAGTGACAATGTTTCCAACGGAACGAAGGGCAGGGGTTTGAACCGAGGTAGAGGCGTGCATCAACAATTCCACAAGACGACGAGGGATACCGGCTTCGATGACAGCTTGGATCTTATCATTGGCGCCATCGGAAAGGTATGAAATTGCCCAACAAGCATCAATCAATACCTCATCATCCAAAGAATAAACAAGTTTAGCCAAAACTGGTAGAGCGGGTAAGATCTGCTATAAATGTAAGTCTTAGCATAATAAAGGGTGAAGAGTGGGAGTCCTTACGGTGGTCCAGTCAGGTTGTGGTGTCTTTCCACGGCAGAAGTTGCTAAGAGTCCAGGTAGCATTGCGGAGCATACTCAATTTTCTGCTATCACCCAAAAGGGCGAGGAGAGGCTTAAGAGCACCGCAACCCAAAACGTAATCTCTGCATGATGGGCTATCACCAGCAATATTTCCCAAAGCCCAAACAGCTTGCTCTCTAACATCTGGTTCGTGACTTCCGAGTAATTCGACGAAAATTGGAACGGCACCAGCTTCAATGACAACTTGAGTTTGTTGAGCAGAACCAGATGCGATATTTGTAAGAGCCCATGCTGCCTCGAATTGTACAAGTGTATGAGGAGAACGAAGGAATTCGACGAATCGTGAAACGACACCAGTCTTAATAACTTCTTCAATAGGAGGGTTTCTTTCCTTTGAGAGTAACTTTCTGAATTTGGTTGTGGCTTGAATTTGTGCATCGATTTGTTCCGAGAATACGCCTTGTACCATTAAAGGGAGGTCATCGTTCAACTATTAAAAGAATTTTTGGTTAGCCATCATGGACAGGGTATTTGATAAGGAACAAATATATGTTTAAGTTGTGAAACCATGACCTAGCAATGAGACTCGCGATAAAGCTGTTGATAGAGGGTCAATCACAGAAGCGAAAAACATTATCACTAGGACACGGCTGCTACCCCACCAAGGAAAGTAAATAGTTGAAAGCTGTAGAAAGTTCCTAGTGGTGGGGTATATCGAGAGCAGTATTGGCGTAATCGTAAAAATCGTAAAGGTCGAGTAATGTGCGGATAGTGTGCTAGTTCAACGGAAGAGATTGTGCGATCTTAACTTACTTGACTTTCTGTGGGAGGTTGATCATCATCACTATCGGGCTCAGCACCCAAAGAGGCACCAGGACGTGAAGATCCATCTCCAGCTGTAATACCTCTTCTCTTTGCAAGATTCTCATCACGCTTGACTTTTCTAATCTCAACTTGTTGTTCTTCGCGACGACGTCTTAATTCTTCAGGCTTGAAGGTGTTCTTTGCCTTGAACTGAGTTCGACGATGCTCTGGGATGTAACGTTCAGCCATGCTTGCGATATGACTGAGGGTGATATGTTTTGTTGTGTTGTAAAAGAAAGTAAGAGGCTTAAATAAGAAACGACCTTTACAGTTAGGCCGTAGGATAAAATCTTATTTGGAGTTTGATTTTATTTGTTGTAGTGAATGAAGAGAGATGGGGAAAAATTATAGAAGATTCTTTGGGTTCTAAATGGTTTGAGAAGAAGGCCCCAAAAGAATAGAAGAGGAACAATCCGCCTCCAAGCTGAAAGCGGTAAGGATTAGTTTGAAACGTGATCTTAGCGAAACACCAATTGTGACTAATACTCGAAGCTTGCTTATTACGATTCATTCTGTTTTCTTATTAGCCAGCGTTGATTGGCTAGTCCCTTTCTGACATGTCATGTCATGACATGTGACAAAGTGTCTTAGTAAGCATCTGGTCGCGTCTACCTAGGTACAGAGATTCAATTAACGCGTCTATTCATGCGCGTGCAAGCCAGGGAAGATTCACAATACCTGACAAAAACACCAGAGAACTTGGAAAGGGACAGTACTGTCACTATATCTTGAATACGAAATAAGAGCGTTTGTTTTGGTCCCACCTTGTGATTTGCTTGACTATAGGGAAAGAGCAAGTACGGAAGGAAGCAGACTCACCACACATTCGAATGAGCATTCATCATTACACTTCCGGTACATTTCCTGTGCACTAGAGGCTTAGAACAATAGCACTATTCACTTCTGTTCATTTTCGGGCGGAAATCACTTCAGATTGATCTGTGTGGTGTATCAATTCACCAAAAAGAGGACAGAGCACGTAAGTTATAAAAATATACCTTACACATGAAGGATTATTTGGTATTCAATCACTACATACATCGAAAGCTTATGTTTCCAGATCTATGACCAACCAAAATTTGCTGTTGTCTTTTTCAGGGTGAGGGGACATCACTGCTGGGAATATCATTTGTGAAGTGTTATTGCGAAGTATCGCCCAAGCTCTCTTGCATTATTCAAGAATGGATAATATGCAAAACGTGGACAAAATGGAGGAATTAACTAAGCCTGAGATGGTCACTCCCAAGGGCTTTCAGACTGTTGCACAGATTAAGAGTTTTGAAATTCTACCAGGTGGAGTTGTAAAGCCACAATTTGTCAATGTAATAGGATTTGTGATGGATCATCAACCTCCTATCAAAACCAAGGGGACAGGTAGGTGATCATTGGATAATGCTTCAACCCATTTCTGCTGTGCAACTCAACTAACAATAACACAATTATACAGACTTCAAATGCAGTTTTCAAATCAAAGATTATTCCTCGCGATTTGAGCGCTTCGGCTTGAGGATGAGTGTTTTTTCAACAGAGGACAAGATGCCACGAATCCAGAAGCCAAGGGATGCCGTACTTATCCGTAGTGCAAAGGTATTTCTCTCTTCTCTCGTATACCATTTGGCTACCAATTGACGAATTAAGGTTCAATTGCGTAATGGGGAGATACAGTTACTATCTCACTTTAGTACCGAATACCACATACTCTGTGCTGAGGACATTCCTAAAGCTATTTTCCCCGTCACCAAAGCTTCGTGGATTTCAACACCACCAGCAAGATGCCGACGTCCAGAACCAATCGAGACTAAGTATGTGGTATGGTCAAATCAACATCTTGATGAAGTTGAGTTTCCTGGTACTCAAGAATTTCAGGAAAAGGCAAAAAAAGCTTTGCAGGTCAGGGATAAGTTTAGTCTACTTAAAGATGTTAAAGACGGCTCGTTTCACGATATCATAGGCGAAGTGAGAAAGATTTATGGAGCTAACAACGATATGGTCACCGTTTACTTTACCGACTACACAGCTCACTCTAAGTTTTACAACTATACATTACCCGGACTATCGAGTGTCGTGACGGAAGGTCGCGATGGCGATGAATATGGATATATAAAAGCAAAACCGAAGGACGAAGCAAAAGAATGGAAAGGTCCGTTCGGAAAAATGACCATTCAGCTCACACTATTCGACGCCCATGCCATGTTTATTCGAGAGGAAAATATCAAGGAAGGCCAGTGGCTTCGCTTGACTAATGTCCAATTTAAATTAGGCAATGCAGGTCTCATAGAGGGTAAGCTTCGTGGCGATCGAGGAGCATCCGATGGTAAAGTTCAGGTCGAGATCATGAAAACTTCTGAAGATCCCCAGAACAATGATCCCAGATGGAAAGACTGCCTTCGACGAAAGCGTGATTGGACCCAAAAGCACGAAAAAGAAAGAAAGAGACTCCAAGAAGAAATTTCTGGGGCAGGAACAAAGCGCAAAGCAGAGGGACAATCAAGCGGGAAAAATTCTAAAGCGCGAAGAAAAGAGTCGCGAGCCAAGGCAGGGGCCAAAAGTGCTTCCAGCGAGACGAAGGCTGTTAAAGGTCTTGACTTGAACGAAAATGGTAAGTTTTCATGCTATAATGGTCCAATATCTAACAATTCGATAGTGATGTTACATCCTGCTCTGACTGCAAGAGACATAATGCCATTATCAAGTATTCTGCAACGCACGTCGCCCATCTCTTCAGATCCCAAATTCGCGGGAATCAACACACCATTCGAGAATAACACCTACAAAGCAAATCTTCGGGTTGTAGATTACTTACCTCACGATATTGCTGACTTCGCAGTTGGTCGAAAAATCAGCGAATTCGATGTGTTATCTGATTATAGTGGTGATGAAGATGATGATCCAACGGAAGATATGCAAAGCTTCCGCGAAGGCAAGGGTTACGTAGAAAGGAAATGGGAATGGTTTTTCTCGCTTGTAGTCGAAGATGCAAATCCAGATGCTTCTAAAGAGAGAGCTATCCTCAGGGTAGAGAATTATGATGCGCAGATGTTACTCAATCTTCAGGACGATGCTTGCAAGTATGTTCATCTCTGATGTTTGTTTGTTAATGTAGAACAATTAAAGCTAATATACCGTCAAAGCCTACGAACAAATCCAGGAATGCTCAGAGATGTTAAAGAAACACTCTTTAGGCTCTGGGGAGATTTAGAAGAGCAAAAATCTGCTCTTCTTTTACAGAAAGCCCGCAAGAAGTCAGAAATAGAAAAAGTGGCGCCCGAGGCTTCCAGGGCCCCAGATTCTGATTCTGAAGACGAAGGAAATGATCTTAGGAAAACTAATCATAGTCTCCCAGTCGACTCAGATGACGAAGCCGGTGATTTGACCCGACAAAAGAAACCCAAAGGATCCAAGAAACCTGTCGTGCTCGGGGAGACAGATGCAAATATCGAAGTTAACAAGAAGGCCGAACAGGTGGAGATACCACAAGAACTTAAGCCCAAAAACAAGCCTTTTCAGTGTTATATAAAAGAATATGGTATCAAAGTGAAGGAAGACGACCCATTGAAAGCGAACGCCGGTCACGGAAAGAAGTGGCTGAGGGTATTTGGACTGTATTATACTATAATTCGTTAATCGCCGGCCTCGGGAATGGACTTAGTATGTATGATCAAGAGCTTGAGATTTTGATATCATGTCTCCATAGGTTGGTTCTCACCTGATTGCGGGGGATGAATAAGTTCTTGGGATGGAAGGATTGAGAATTATGAGAATGTGAAGAAGATTGTCGATGCGGTGGAGGCGCCGAAGAAACAGTTTGATGGAGCGTGGAGGATAGATTCGGAGGTGTCGTTGAGAAGGTGTCAGGAGTGAACGAGATAGGCGGTGAGAGAGTTGACGGAGAAGGGCATCTTAGAGTGTATTGGAGATAGCGATGAAGAGTGTTGACTTTGGTGGTTTTGTTGCACATTTGTGAGGTTTGGCTAGAAGATATTGAATCTTGCTTCATGACAGTTTGCTTTCCTTGTGGACTTGTTCTTGTATATCTCGTCAACAGTAGTCAATAAGTTGTGGCCGTGAAAAGTATACTGTACTATCACCGCTCTTTTGGAATCGCTTCTCATACCTACTCAATGACACGGTTGAGTCTAGACAAGACAACCAATATATACAAGAGCATATTAACCATTCCTCTGGTCGCTTAACATCGGCAATTTCTTAATATGATCTGCAATATAGATAAGTATTATAGAAAAAATAAAACCAGATTCAATCACAAATTATGCATGATCACAAGCTTGAGCGGCGAAACTAAGCTCTCACTTACAATGGAAAGGAGGCCCATCACCAAGGGGAAATAGTGTTTTACAGGATTCACCTACTGTATATCATTCGCAGTCCAATCTGCTGGAGATGTTGAGCCATTCTTTTAGCGTAGCTTGGGCTATTAGATACTTTCTAGCTTTATCAACTCATTTACGAAGAAGACCGAAAGTTATGAAATCTTTACTCGTAGATGCACTCTTTATTTGACCAACAATAAATCAGCAAGGCTTCTCAGCGGTACGCTTTATGTTGCATCATAGTACTCCATGCGATTTTAATGGAAGTCATAACACGCGAGCAAATCTTAACTTAATGGTCATCACTAGCTGACCCAAGCCTTTGGCATCTTTCGTTACTTCCCAGCCAGCCATTTTAAAATACAAGCCAAGCAGAGTACCAAGAAGCTAATACACTTATACATCAAAACTACTCATGCTACATCAGACTCAAACTCCCTATCCATCTACCCTTACATGTACCCAAATCCACCCACTGAATGCTTGCTCCACGGGACAAAACGTCACTGAGCTCCCCTTTTCGTGAAACATCAAACTGCTGAAAGACCAGGATATCAGACGGCAAACATAGAGCTTAGTGTGACGATCGAAAATGTATTCCGAAGCCTAAGATTTTTTACGATCTAGACTTGCAATCAGACAGAAAGGAAGTGAATGTGAGGAAAGAAAGCAATGTGATGGATTTCAAGGGATAACTTTAGATTGCCGAGATAATTAGCGGGGTTGATAAGGAACATAGTGAGAGTCGGCCACCAGCCGAGTGCGAAGATAAGTCATTACCCGAGTTCAATGTGAAGTTTCGGGACATCTTGACTTTCAGACTGGGTGTACAAGATGTGGTGAAATAGATCGAGATGGTAAATTGGCAAAGGTGATATCATTACTGAAAGAGGGACAAGATCAATAGAACCCAACAAAAACTAACAATCAAAGCTCAGGCAACGCTCCGATAAATCATTCATTTATTGTTTAAATATCAAAAATCGAATCACGGGGTATCTACCTATCGCTAATGGTAACGCCAGTCTGGATGCAGCACTAAAAATCAATAGCCGGACCGTTGGATACGAGCTGGAATTACACGACCACCAATATTTTTCTCCTCACCGCCTAATTGCCAAACACGCTGCCATGCCATTTCTACGGTCAGAGGTGCATCAGGATCAATCTTGGAGGAGTTCTCGACCATCTCGTCTTCATCTTCACCATCCCAGAATTCGATTTCCGGACGAGCCTTGGGTGGACGTCCCACCCGTCCACTCCCAACACGTGGGACTGGACGAGGTGGTGCTAATTCCCCAGTAAATATATCCTTTACTTGAAGATTTGTAGACCCGCGAATTGGCATGACGCCAGCTCTTTCATCATGCTGGTTGTTATTTCGACGAACAAGGTAAAGGCCCTCCGCCAAATCCATATAATGTTGCCATTGTTGATCGGTGGTCACTTGCTTGGTGTATGGTGGATATCGAGTACGACCCAATTCGCGAAGACAATCAGTGAACTTTGAGCCCACAAATAGATCAGGATGACGTCTTTCTAATAGATCTGCAAGATTCCCCCCAATTTTATAGACAATACACTTTGCAATGCGTGGTCCGGCTCCTGGGTCGCCTTGGTCTGGAATTTTTGCTTTAATGAAGAGCTTATTCCAGAGGGATCCGGGAGTAATTTTCTTGACAGGAGTGCCATCTGCAATTTCATCAGTGATCAAAGACATTAGCATTTCCAATTGATTGGTTTGTGCGTCGCCAGTATCGCTAGCAGCTGGAGGAGGGTCTGGAATGATAGGAGAGTCGACAACCATTGGCTCTGATTCCAGTGAAACGAATGTATTGGCTCTCTTATAAGCGATCTGCCGAAATTAGCCTTGTAGGATCGAAGCCTAGTGTAAAGATACGTACAGGACATTGCTTCTTCAGAAGCTTGTAGATTTCTGTACTAGACCATCTCATGGTCTGAGCCTCTCCATCGACCCAAATTTCCTCACGAAAAGCTGACAACAGAAAGAATGCATTTGCATCTTTAGTCAAAACTTCGACGACATCTGCTTTTAACAGTCCACTGCCATCCTCGCGACCATACTATAATGAAGAATCAGCCTTGAAGTAGAGTAACATCTGCAGATTAATTGGAACTTACTTCCCAGCACAACTGAAACAAATCATCTCCACACTCCTTATTGATTACACGCTCGTAGTAATCGGTAACAAAGTGCTTAAGTTCTGCGCTTTCCACCATGCTTGTGAAGTGCGCTACATACTTTTGCGAAGGTTTGAGCTCAACCCACCACTTAGTTGTGGAATCTTCAACGTAGAGAATGATAGCTCCAAGCTCATCCCTTTCATAAGAATACATTTGAAATTGAACCTGGCAATGTGAACCATTTGGTTTCTTAACTATCAGAGCATTAGATATCAATCCAATAAATGGAAATGGGATCCACCAGAGTCAGAACTCACATTTATATCTTTCCGCATTCTCTACCCAAAGTGTACCTTCAGCGCGCAATTCCAGACCAAGGACAGAATCGAATACATTTGCAATACTGCGGTTTTTTTGATAGACGATCGTATCTTGAAGAACAAGCCTTGGCTCATCAACATCCATTTTATCGGCTTTCTCCCCCGAAGATTTATGACTTTTACTTGGTACAGCATCAGGTGCGCCAGAGCCAAACATTTGAGATCTGGTAGCATTCATAGTTTGGTATCTGTTGAAAGGACAAGGGAATAATATACTAGTCGATACAATTTCATAGTAGGTGATGATTAGATTCCAGATGAGAACATGGTCTTTTCTTCAACAATATCTTTGTGGAGAACAAGGTCAAGCGTCTCCTTTATTTGCTGATAAAGATGATGGTCGTCGGCCAAATGAAACTCCGAAGTCCCTGACAATGATTCTGAACTCCATGATGACTCTCGAAATCCATACAGTCAGATAGTTACGGAGTGCATTGCTGACCTACTGGGGTTTGAAGATAAGTTTTGATAGGAACAGTCTCTGCTCGTTCTAAAAAGGAAATCTCTTCATGAAATTATTCGGTACCATTGATTTGACATTATCAAACAAATGACTCTCTACTTCTCGGGAGTAAAAAGAAAATATTGTCTCGGGATAAAGCTCGAATCACGTGGTGATAAGGATGCGAAGCTAAGACTCTGCAGCAACTTCCATGGCACAAAACAAAAAAAAGCTGGAGTATCGAAATAATAACTCCACTCCATATTAACCAACAGATATCTCTTACCACCCATAACAACCTAACACTAGCAGATGTCCCGACTTGCCTGGTGGACAATGACGAAAGGAAAAGTTATGGAAGGCGTTTTCGGTATGAACGTCTGTTATCTCTCTTCAATTGATAAAAATAATTGACAGAACCCCGCAGCCATTAATAAACCCACTGGTCGTTCTTCCGCTCAAATCGTTCGCGATCTTCAACACCATTTCAATCCCTCCGAATTATTCGCACCTTACATTCAAATAGAAACTCGAAACCGAGAAAATGAATGGCATAACCAAAAACAGCGACGTAGGAAGTCGGGTAAGAGAGTTCAGGTTAAGATTGGTCATGGAGGAACTTTAGATCCATTGGCTACTGGAGTCCTCATTGCCGGAGTTGGAAAAGGCACGAAAGAATTGAGCAATTTCCTTCTCTGTACTAAAACTTATGAGACCACTGTATTATTTGGTGCTGCGACAGATACATATGATAAAGATGGGAAACTGTTGAAGAGAGCCCCCTATGAACATATTACGAGAGAAATGGTTGAGAAAGGACTTGCTAAATATCGAGGAAAATTTATGCAACTTCCACCGTTATTCTCAGCCTTGAAAATGAATGGAAAGCCTCTCTATGAATATGCGCGTGAGGGAAAGGAGATTCCTAAAGAAATCGAAAGGAGACCTGTTGATGTTTCGGAACTGGAGTTGCTGGAGTGGTATGAAGGTGGTGAACATGAGTGGAAGGCGCCAACTGAAGAAGCGGGTTATGCGGAAGTCAATGTGGCGGCGAAGTTATGGAAGCAGGAGCGAGCTGAGCCAGCAAGTAATGGAAAGGAGGCAGAGAATGAGAGGGCGCTGGAAGATTTCGAAAGTAGAAAGAGAAAAATGGGTGATGATCAGGATGACTTGGTTTTGGAAAAGCCGGCAAAGAAAGCCAAGGAGGAAGTCGAAGGGAAAAAGGAAGATGCGATGATGTCAGGAGGTCTATCTTCCGACAAAACTCCAGTTGAAGATCAACCTATTCCCTCCAAAGAAGACATGAAGAAAGGTCCTCCAGCGGCCAAAATCCGCATGACTGTATCATCTGGTTTCTACGTCCGATCATTATGCCATGATCTCGGCGCAGATTTGGGATCAGCGGGATTGATGACTAGTTTGGTTAGGGTCAGACAGGGACAATTCGAATTGGGAAAGAACGTTTTGGATTACGATGATTTGGAAAAGGGAGAGGAGGTCTGGGGACCACAAGTTGAGAAGTATCTGGATGAATGGAATGCGTTGTCGAATGCAGAGAAGGTTACAAAAACAGAGACCGGTGCGGAAAGTGCTACAGAAACGGCCGCAGCGCTGCCTGTAGAAGAAACACCTGCTGCGGAGGCGGAAATCAAGGACGAGACAACTGAGATCAAGGAAGAAAAGGCCGATGCATAGAGCGAGTGGAGGCAGATTATGCTAGCATTGCGAATAACTCAAAGTTTAGTTGTTTTAGAGCATGAGTGTCACCATCCGAGAAAAAAAACAGAAACTCAAGTCTGGTGCCTCATGCGATATATACCGGCGTCTTACTTGCAACGATTCCATCAATTGTATTATACGAGCGTTTTTTAGGAAAGGCATTTATTGGCGCGAATCTTACTGATAGGTAGAATTGCTATTGCATTAGAATTCAAGAACATATCACTTACTATCTTCCTGTGCTGTTAGATCGCACTCCTCATTCATTCTTTTTTGTCCCCCTTGTCTTCCTCATACAAACCAGCATACGTAGCCCTCAACCTTCCCATCAAATGTTCATCAGCTGTGATTTTCTCTCCTTTCTTCCTTTTTATTTCTCCATTGGCTTCTCCAAATTTCTGTACGCGCTCGCTGGGTACACTTTCTAATACGGTGGTGCCGACGGGATGACAGAAATACGCTATGCTGTAGCGATCTGCTATTTCTGTTGGAAGGGACTTGGGGAAGATGACGCGGTGGACGGTGGAGACGAGGAGATTGTTGGTCCAGTGCGAGAGGAGGTCGCCTATATTTACGACTGTGGTGTGGTTGGGATTAGTTATATCTTCTTTAGGAGGGGGGATTCATTTGGGGGTGGTCAGTGTGGGCGGGTTGATAGAGCGACACGGATATAGATGATTGAAGGGGCAGAAGTTTGGGGGAGAAATATATGCTTACGGATTGGTGGAGATGGATCATGTTCCGTAGTAGGTGGCTGGATTGGAACTGGGGTCCATTTCGGCTCCGAAGAAGAGGATGGAGGAAGGATTTCAAGACCCGGTTGAGAGGGTCGTTCTGAAGGAGTTGGCTGTTAGATTGGGGTGTAATCAAACTTGAGGAGAAGAACATACGGAATAAAAGGGTAATAGAACCATAGTCCGAATGAGCACCAGCTCGAATATCGACATCGGGTTGGTAGTCAGAATTTGGGGGCAAGGAAGGATAGTAGAGCAGACGGAGAATGCATCCTGTTGTGCCCCCGTGATGTCTAGAGGAGAACCAGTCGGAGCCGCCAGCTGCGGGGTCAATCTATGGAAAGTTAGCTTTTTTACCTTGAGACAAAGCAAATTGCGGGAAATGAGAGTGTTAATTAAAGAGAGGTTTGGCATATGTACTTCAAGACCGATAGCGAAAAGAGTAAGGAGTTTGAGGCAAAGCTTATGACAATAGAGTTGAAACTCGTTGAGCTCTGATTCATGTGGCGATAATGAAGGTGGAAGTGGTTGTTCGGCTTTTCCATTGACAAAGTCGCCTAAATTGAATGCTCTAAGGGGTAAGAGTTAGTTGCGGACTTGGATGGAAAGATTATAGGAGAAAGGCAAGCTACTCTTTGAAATCGCCGACCTGTTAATTTATTAGTTTTGAAATCTTGAATGATTTTGTTGACGATATAACATACTCTTTGATTCTTTTCATCCAACTTCTCTGTATGCATTCCAGACCATCCCCGATTCTAGCCCCTCGTCAGCTTTCATGTATCCATGGCTGAACACAGTCAACTTATCATATACATTATTTGCGATTTTGCATGGTAGCTTCTCTTCGATGGGAGAAGAGAAGAACTTTCGAGACTACTTTATGTTTTAGCTACAATAACGACGGAATTTCGAGGAAAGTGTACGTACCAACTCAAAGGTTCTGTCAATGGCATCGACAGGGATATCTTTCCCCAGATTTTTTAAGTAAACGAAACCAAAAGTTGCAGCTGCATCCACAAGTTGCTTAGCAACTTCCGATTGAGGCACTGAGCCCGAGATATCAATAACTGGTATTCTTCCTTCGTTTGAAGAGGACATGCTTCCTGAGAGATGTATGAATGAATGTAATAAGTGGGACATGAATCTTCTTTATACCGTTTCCAGGGTGGGATGAAATATATTCATTTGTAAAACCGTTCTGATAAGAAGTCAATGAAGAGACGACCCCTCCTTATCGTGGATTTCACGTGATGAGCCCAAAGAAGGGACGGCAGGACGGGGCTGAGGATAATTAAAGATTAATACTGTAGAGCCTTGAACCGATCATTGTGGGAGCTTGGACACTTCTCGAACGGCGGTTGTGGTCTGAAAGTTCAATTTCAACATTCTATTTTGAAGACACAACCACCACTTCTGCGCATCTAGTACATTCATTTCTATTTCTGAAATATACACTCAGCTCACTCCGATATACTCCTCAGATACCCAGTCAAGATACTCGACCGTAGATTCTCCTTTTACTCCAACCCATAATAACGTCAACTCACCCTTTACTCATTATTGATCACAAACCACCAACGTTCCTTCCCACGAACACCCCTCCAATATTATCTAAGAGGGCCACAACACGAATATAAGGTTTGGTATCTCTCGTTTTTGGAAAGTACTTAGAAATCGAATCACAATTGGGAAGAACAAGTGAATAGTATTCAAGATTTAAATTCAAGATGCCTTGTAAGTTCGATTTCCTTCTCAATGCCAATTTCAACGGCAACCATAATCATCGCAAGCCCAATCTCAACTTCCACCTCCACGTCTACGAAAGTCTGAACCTCGAGAAGCAAAATGGGTTGCGGAACAGAGGATACCCTTGGCTCGATCATCCGTGGAGTGCTTGCTGAAGCTGATCCCATGGCGACAAATCCCTTCGAAAATATCCAGGACATCCAAAATGCGCTGTTGGCATCGGCCTGCTGGGTTGATGGCACATACGATCGTGCATACTACGTTCCCGAGCATTGGACTGATATAGCATATGCAGTAAATACTGGCGACCCATACATTGATGCTGGGGTAGTGTAAGATCTCAATCATTCCGCAGGAAATCATCTGCTAATTTGCGACAAACAGTTCTATGCCACTCTCCGATTTGGTAAATGCGAAAATTGGTGTGGAAGCTACAGCATACCTCTCAAACCTTTTGAAGGGCCCTGCCGATGAACCTCTACTCGCAGCTTTGGGTGGAGAACCCATGGCCTTGAAATTACACATCGAGAACGATTTGGACAAATGGAAGGAACATGAAATGGAGCCATACTTCGTTTTTGAAGGTCAATCAGTTGTTGGCAAGAAGGAAATGACTATGCGACGTCTGAAGTCTGCCATACCCGAAACAGAACAAGCCTGGGCGATTTATAACCAAGGCAATCCTACAGATGCTGTCACAGCTTTTCGCAAAGCCAGTGAGTGTCTGAGTGTTTAATCAATATCGTTCATTTGTGCTAATCTAAGATAGGTGCTATTCAAATCACCGACCTATATCATATCCTAAAGGAAGTGCTTACTGCGAGGGACTTGGATTACATGACTGCTCCTTTCAGTGCTTGTGCTCAGCTCGCCGCCCTCGATCGTCATGATGAACAATTCATTGATGGAATTATGGGCTCTCAAGAATTACTCCTCTATGACATTTGGGATGCTGTTATTTACCCACCCACCCCGGCGGATTGGGAAAATAAATCCTTAAGGGGCGTTGTTAGGTCTGAAATTATCAAGAAGCTTAATGTTACACCAGACATGCTTGCCGATGCATTATTAATGACCGGAACCTCATTTTTACCACCGTTCCCTCCCCTTCAAGATCAATCTATCATCACCCGTCAACCCTACAATGTTGGTGATGCTATCAACCTACTGAGAACTTCGGAAAAGTCGGTTAGTGCGACTTGCACGGCTTTTAACGATATCTTAAATTTGCAAGATCGAGATTGGCTTGACAAGTACCGAAAGGCGAAGATGGGTATCAAGCATTGTGTTACTGTGCACACAGATGGAAGCATTCATATCAGAGATTTTGAACACTTGACAGGAGACAATCATGAATATCTCGGTCTGCAACTACCTGCAGAGTTATACTCTTATCTTCAAAAAGATGTGATCAGTTCGCGTCTCATGAACACTTTCAACTCTCTCGAGTACCATGTTCTTCCAACTCTCGATGGCTTTGTATCACCCGAATATCGGAAGCTAGTTACAGAATCTCTTTTGCCACTCAAGGAAACTTCTGCAGCTCTTATTGCTCCTCGAATGCATCGTGGTTTCCTCTACAAGGATATCACTATGCGCTTTTGGTTCGATGATGAAAACAAGCCATCATTAAACCATAGACGCTTACAACCACAGACTAATGAATTAATTGATGTATGGGGTGTAAAGGATTCTGAATTAAAGAAAGTGGAATCAAAATCATTACAAGCAGGAACTTTGTCTTTTGCTGCGATATCATTACTTGATAACAAGGACTTACCCACTAAAACCATCGGCAAAGGAAAAACTACTGGTCTTTCCTCGAAGGCAGAGATTATATCCAATTCTTTATGGCGTCTACTTCACCTTAGAGGCTACATCAACAAACAACACGAACTTACAAATTGGGGGAAAGCATTAGCCACTACTTTGAAAGCCATCCAACCTATCCTTGAGAAACATAAAGATGTTCACTTTATTGAGGAGGCAGCATTCGTGGCATTCGAGCTCATTCGTTTCCAAAATCTCCACAATCGTGACCATCACCCTGAATTGATTGGAGGGCCACTGCGAGGCGAAGAGGAAGACAAAGCAAACTGTATGCTCATAAGTCGGGTTGCCTGTCTTCTCAAAGTCAGACACTCTCCAATCGGTTATACTGGTCCTTTGAGCAAGAATTTCCTCTCATATCATTCAATCATCAAATCTATTCGGGAAACAGATAGAGATCTAATCGAAGCCATTGTCGCCTCGATGCTTTTGAGTGGTCAAGTTACCCGTGATGTTAAACAATATCAAGGGTTGGGTCGCAGGTACGTGTCCTTTTTGTTTTCTGCATTGACCCATCTTACTTGATCATCAACTTTTGAAGTCATCAAGTCACTAACAATCTTTGAAATAGTCTTCCATTTGATAATGATATTGATATCGCTTTCGGAATCGCCGTCAAAACTTACCTTGATGACTGTGTCAATCCCGAATCATTGAAAGAGGACAAGGAGAAAAGAGTAACGAGATATGCTAATCAATATATTCCTTATGCAATTAACTTTGTAGAGGATCTTGATGTTGCATTTGGTTTCTTTGATGCTTTGTATAAGGGAGTCAAGACTTTGTCTGATTCAGAGATGAAGGATGCTGAGAAGAAAACATGGGATGACGCTAAGGCATATCTCGATGCGAGAAGATAAATGAAGGCATAGGGGGTTGGGCGGTAGTGATATTACTTCTGGTATGATGAACTTCGTTTTAGTGATGGAGATTGGAGGTGCGGAAGAACGTCGGACTATAGATAATGATGAATAGAATGTGGAAACGAATATAGTTTGAGTGGAATGGATGAGCAGGCATATCACAGTCAACGTGACAACACACGGTTTGCTAAACACTACGTTATGGTGGAGGGGAAAATTTAGTAGCTAGAAGCCAGAAGAATAAAATATCGTCAACCCCCATGTGATCTACGTTTTATGCCTGCGGCCGTTTAATCTACGCGAGGAAAGTTCTACGTCTGCAAGATCCAGATCTACCGAGTACTCGTAGCTCAAGGCTCGTGTCTATGCTTTACATCTTGCTGGTATGTTTCTTCAGTTTCAATCTATCCACTTTCTTTCAATTTCCCAGTCCGTGTTCTGTAAGCCGGGAAGGCCTAGTGTCAGCTCTTTGTGTAAAGGGGGCGTCTTCTCGTGTGCTTTTGGATTGCGTTGGCCCCCGATGTTGACGGTTTGGTGTCTAGCGGCTGGAGCTCTGTATGAGGGGAAGCTTGAGTTGAGTCCCCTCGACCTCTTCGATCCGTGCCTCTTCCAGTTCTCTGAGCATCGGGAGTAGCTTGAGCGTTCGATGAGCTCGTACACTTTCTTTTGAAAAAGCTGCACATGATGTAAGAATGAAGAAAATAATTCTAATCTGAATCCATCCCGCGTCCGCACTTCCCCATTGGGGAAGTGGGATATGCTCATATAGAGCAATTATTACAAAGAGCATTCTGGTACTAAGGATATGAATTCTGTTTGATGCTGCTAGAAAGGTCGCTTTAGAATGGGGTTGGTGCATTATGGTATGGAGACCTCTTTTAAGATTGGATCATGCTATTCCCTTTCGTGTTCCTTTGCCTGAATATTCCCTGTTCGCATTCGCCTCTTCACATATACGACATACAGCATTCGTATCGCGGGTACTTTTTTGATTTCATCCTATAGATAATAATGTGCGAGTCTCTCTGTAGCACGCACAGATCACATAGCCTCACAGCGGTGCTACCATACCTCATAGACATCACAAAATATATATTGAGTGACTGAGCCTCGATAATGATGAAGAACCTTTTCAATTGCTTTGCCAACTATTGCAGTCAAATCGCAAAAGAAATGAATCTAAGGCGAAAGACAAATTTTTTGCTCAATCTTCTCCCAGATTCCTTCATCCGGTCACTAATATCAGTAGATCCAAGGAAGCTTGTCAGAGGGCCGACAGTCTCACCCTCAGATAATTCGCAAGTCAAACTCTGCTTTGTATGCCAAACTCTGAGTATTAAAGCATTAAGAAATAGTACTGGCTTTACTCACGGAACACCAAGTCAGGTACTTACCGCTGGAAGATCTGGATGTCCTCTATGCATTCTAATCGAAAAGAACTTTGATCTTGGTTCATCTATACCCATTTGATTATACAGAATTCGTCGAAACCTCAAGTTAAGTCTCTCACAAATTGTGAGTCACAATCTGCGACGGGGGATCTTGAGGCTGTAGGAGTTTTGAATGGCTGTGATAGAGATATGAATAATCCATTTTCTCACAAGCTAGCACATTCAACACGCCCTGGTCAGTCATTCTTTCTGACATGTACCACTTGTG